CACCAGTCAAATGTTTGTCTCAGTATATAGTATATAGTGTATCTTTCTATGCATAAAAAGTTAAACACTTCCAGATACACTGAAACATCTTTAAACATACAGTAATAATAATAATGTTTTCATGTATGTTGCAAAGTAGCACCCATTTGTTATTACAAACCATTGTATGTACCTTGAATTTTTAATATAGTAGGTTTTACAGGATTGGTTCGTAACTACGGGTTGTACATAAGTCAGACATTCGTAACCCGGGCACTGCCTGTATCTGCTATTGGTAAAGTAGGGGCTGAGTGTCCACAGATGAAAAGCACCTTCTCCCAAGGGGAACTGATATGTAAACACAAATAAGAACACCATGTGACAAGCTACAGGGACAGAATGGGGGGAGGAGGCTTAGAAGTCTGCTTGGGTGAGTGAGGAAGCTATAGGTGTTGCTGCTTCATGGGGAAGGAGTAGGAGCTGGCCAGGTAGAAGGGAAACAGGTAGGGGAGGATACAGGTGTGAGGATGCATTCGTTATATAATCAGAGAACTATTTAGGTTCTGCTGGAACAGCAAAAAAAAAAAAAAAGCTTCAGCGACAGGGGATAGGAGATTGTGACGGATCATGTATACCAGGCAGTGGGCTTCTAATTTTATCCTGCCAGAGATGGCGCACCACTGACGAACTTTGGGCAAGATGATGCAAAAGGGCTGCATGGAAAAAAAAAAAAAAAAGGGGAGAGAATGACCGCAAGCATTCCTGAGTGGCGAAGAGAGAGCTGGATGGATGAAGTCCACCCCCACCATTCATTTATTAAGTCATTCAACAAATAGTTACTCAGGGCCTGCCACGTACCAGGCTGGAGTCCAGGAGCTGGAAATCAGGCAGTCAACAGGACTGGCAAGGTCTGCTCTCATGGAAGAGACTGACAATAAACAACCAAGGAGATACCAGATACGTACTGCCCGGAAAATGAAGCCAGGTGACAGAAGAATCCCTGAGCGGCAGCTTCCCCCACGCCCCCTCCTCCTGCCAACACTTCTGAATGCTCGCCAAGCCTCCTCTTGATCTAACTTTGGTTTCCCAAGGAGGCTTTGCTCCTAGAAAAATTTCTACTGTAAATAATTAAACCAGCTCTCTAGGTGTTTCCAATAAGCTTTGTCCAAGTGGGGTGACCAGAGTTAGTTTTCCCCAGGGCCTGGTCCATTTTGCGTATCTATATATATTTATAAATGCTTATATAAATATATATATGTATTTAGAGAACCTAAATAGTTCTCTGATTATGGAAAAATTGCTTCCCCACACCTGTATCTTCCCGTTTCCCTTCTTTCTGGTCCGCTACTCCTTCTCCATGAAGCAGCAGCACCTACAGCTTCCTCAGAATTTTGTCAGAATTCTCAAGTTTAAGTCTGCAGGAGGGCTGCAGCAACCTTGAGACCTTTCCTGACCATGATCTCCATAGCAATGTATGGCTGTCCCCACTCCTCTCATCCCTTCAGATATATATGTATATGTGTGTGTATATAGATAAATACAGACAAGAACCATTTGATGGAATGATTGAAATTGTGCATTCCTGTTTGCCTTGAGATTTTGCTCTTTTAAAGAACTCCATCTATATGGGCTCAAATTGACAACAGCTACTTAAAGGTTAGAGAGGAAGCTTAGGGGGCAGTGAGATTATGCTAACGGGGAGGAACAATTCGGAAAAGGAGGGTGAAAGTGGTTGCACAACCTGAATGTAATCAATGTCATTGAATTGTACTCATAGAAATTGTCGAATTGGTGTATGTTCTGCTGTGTACATTTTCAACAACAACAGCAAAAATAAATTATTTTTAAAAACTGTACATTCCTCCTCTCTGAAAAATACAAACTTTTAAAACACGCAGGCAGCAGGTTTTACGTCCGGAGCACCCTCCCACCCCCACCTCTGCTTTCTTCGACCCCGCAGCGCTGCCTGCCTCGCCCCCAGAGGGCTGGGTGGGGAATCCCGGCGTCTGCGCGGAGCAAGGGGCTGGCGCATCATCACCAGGGCACTGGTATGTCAGAGCTCTTCAGTGCCAAGGGGATGAGGGCCAAGAGCAAGAAAGCGAACGTTGTATTAAATGCAGCTGAAGAAACAGGGACTGAAACAGCAGATTTCCCAGCGTGCCCTGTGGTCTTCCCCCGTTTGACACACTTACTCACTGCGGTTGTTTTTTTTTTTCTTCTTCGTCTTTTTTTTTCTTTCTTCTCTTTTAATTATGAAAACTTTCAAAGACACAGGGAAGTTCACTGTGTTTTAGGGAACTCTAAGGAAAGCCCCAAGAGGGCCTCTCTGATTTTGCCCGACTCCCTGATAGTCTTTTCTACTCTCAGGGACTCTTGTAATCAGGGAGTCCCGAACCAGGGCCCCTGCTCCGAGGGGTTTTCATGCTAGTTGGGGAGAAGGCACTAATAAAAACTAAAAAAAAAAAAAAAAAAAGACTAAACTAAACAAACGAAAAGACCGTTTACAACTTACAAGGTGCTTTTACGTTCCTGGTTTCATTAAAATCATAAACTCAGAGTGGAAAGGAAATTTACAGATCCTCTCCAGGGAAGCAAACACTTAGCATATACAGGTCACTTCCTAAACTCCTGAACATGGCAGACACTGCTCATTGGTCACTCACTCACTCATCCATTCGTTTATTGAACACTTATCTACTGGCCACCCTCCATGCTCATTCTACATGTTAGGTTAGGCAAAGAGCAGGGAACCAGACACACTTGTTTGCTACCCTTACGGACCTTCAAGTGGAAGGCAGACATTAAACAAATAATTACATGCATGAAGAGTGTTTAAAAAAAGGTAGGGCCTCACAGACTGGGAGGTCAGCTGGGGGTGGAGCAGTCAGGAAAGGCTTCTCTGAGGAAGTGATGTTTAAGCTGAGGTCCAGAAGATAAGGAAACTGAATCTCTGAGAGGGTGAAGAAAGAAACATTACCTACCAGCATGAAAAGACGCAGGAAAGATGCGGGAGTCAGGGCATGCTCCACCACCAATGCAGGGGGCATGGATACTAAATGGAGCAGGTAGTAGCAGGACAGCCAAGGAAGTCTGGCTCCAGCCAGGCCTTAAGAGAATCGGCTGATAGGAGGAGAGACGTGGAAGAGCTTGAGCAAACTTCAAACATGATTCTGTGCTGTTTATCCCCTACCTTCCCAGGGAATTGTGCTCTCACCCTATGCCATTAAACAATAGGACAACCACCTGTGATTTATTGGCCACCTACTACGAGTGGGCAATCCTCATGCATTGTAACATCTTTCTTGTGAGATCAGTATGATTTTTCCTGTCTTACAGATGAAACAAAAGTCTTGGGAGGGCTAAGGACACTTCTTGCTACGGTTAGCCACCAAGTAGGCAGCAGAGCAAGGATTTGAACCCATGCTTGCCTGTCTTCCACGGCAGGCGCACTTTCCACAATTTCTTACTGCCATAAAATCCGAGCACCGGGGCTCCAACAGCAACCAAAACTTAGAAAACAACAGAGGACCTTTCACGGGGGAAAGGGTCGGCCAGAGTAGCCCCAGGTGAGTGGACACCATCAGGCAGAGGAACGCCAGGAAGAAATCAACTCATGGGTGGGGGCGGGGGCGGGGAGTGGAGGGTCGGGAGAAGCGACCCAGGGGACGTCCTTGGGTTCCAGGACTGCACTCCGGGGAGGTGCCCCGCGCTAACCACTACCCGGCCCGGTTAATCATTTCCTGATCTTCTTTCCTCCTCTCGCCCTGCCCGCAGGATTGCCACATCAGCCTCCTCCCTCCCCCTGCTCGCCTCCTAGCCCGGCTGCTCCTTCGCCGGGTTTTACAAAGAGCCCCAATTTTGAAGAAGTATTTATAATGGGCCCGGACGCCCCCCAAGGCCGTGCCCCGAAGAGATCTTCAGCTCCCTGGGAAATAGCCCCTGTTCGAACGGCCCCTTGAGGCTTGGCTTTTTCCCGTAGCCACTTTCTAAAAAGAGGCCAGGCGGCGGCGATCGACTCCTGACACTGATTAGCGAGTTAGGGACTTGGTTTTCCCAGCAGTAGAAAGGGGCGGTACCAGCAGCTGGCAGGGTGTTGCAAGGTTAAATGAGGTATTGTATGTCAAGTGCATGGCTGGTAGATAGCAGTGGGTGTTTAACAAATGTTAGAGCCCTTCTGTTTTTATCTCCTGGTAATGGGCTCAGGAAGCAGACCCAGGTTATGTTTATCTCACTTAAGCTTCCAGCAGTGGATGAGGAATGCCAAGTCCGACGACGCGCTGGCAGTAATGCAGACGGCGAGTCACAGGGTTTGAACCCCGATCGTGGGCGCACCTTTGGGCTCGGCCACTCAGCAGCCAGGTGGCTGGCGGAAGCCAGGTGCTCAGCACCTGCCGCAGGGTCAGGTCTGCACCTACCGCAGGGAGCCGAGCCCCAAGTCAGGGCCGCTCGGAGGCCCACGCAGTCCGCTGGGCCGCCGGCGCCAGCCCTCACCCTCTCTGAGCTTGTTTCCTCGTGTGTAAAATGGGGCTAAAGTGCCTGCCCGCCCGCCCGCCCGAGTGGTTTTATTTCCTTCTTTCTCACTTTCTGTCCGGCCAGGTTTTCCACCACAAAGCCGCGCTGCAGTCAGACCGTCACACACCATATGCAGGGTCAGTCCCTTCGGCCGGGGAGCGCTCGCCCGGCAGCGGTGGATGCAGCCCGCCGGACTGCCGTGCCCGGCTCGGCGCCCCACCCTTCCCGGGCAGAGGAAGCAGCAAGCGCTCGGGGCCGCGGACCCGGGGAAGTCACTTCCGAGCGCGACCCGACTGCCCGCCGCCGGCCAGCGCGCTGGGACCCCCAACTCGGCGGGAGTGACGGGCGCGGGGGCGGGGCCGGGCCTGGGGGCGGGGCCGGGCCTGGGAAGGCGGAAGCCCCTGCCTCGGGGTGGCGGCAGAACCCGGATCTAGGACTCCCACGTTCTCCGGAGCGGGGCGCCGGGAAACGGCGGGCGGGAAAACCCGGCGCCCGGAAACCCTTGCTTTCTTTGACGCAAGGGCTCGGGACGCAGCCACCGTCGGCCGAGCGCCCGGCGAGAAGCGACCCCAGACAGAGCCTCCCGAATCCCTCCGCCCCCACCTCGCCCGGTCCCGGAGCCGCGGTCCTCCCCGCTGTCCTCCTCGTGGCCATGGAGTGTCCGCACCTCAGCTCCAGCGTCTGCATCGCTCCGGACTCAGCCAAGTTCCCCAACGGCTCCCCGTCGTCCTGGTGCTGCAGCGGTGAGTGTGGTCCGGGCCGGCGCGGCCGCGCACCCGAGGCCCC